GAGGCGGGCAGAGCGCTGGGCGGGCGGCTCTGCATGTCGGGGAACGGATGCTCGCATGCATTTTGAGCGTCAAGCTCATTTCTTAGTGCAAATCTCTGTGCAAGGGACCGCAGCGGCCCTCAAAGCAATTGAGACGGTATGAGTCAGCCATGCACCAGGGCGGGCGGGGGCTGGACCAGGGCCTGGGCGGGCGAAATGACGAGAGCGCGCTGCAACTGTGTACCTCCTCCGCAGAGCAGCACATATCTCGACGCTCTACAAGCTTGATATAATAGCAGGTGTCGATGAAGATTCGGGCAGCTTGGGCTTGTGTTCAATTGTGCAGTCTGAACTCCGTCCGTGCTCGTCGGAGGACTTTCGGGTAGCTGTGGCTTGTAATCCTGAACATTTTTATAAGGCGTCCCTCAGCCTTTGGGTGCTTTGCGCTGGCCAACAGGTCCGGTTTGCGCCCAACGAAGACCGCTGATGTTTTGGTTCTGAAAGAAAAGCAAGAAGACTGAAAGAATCCCGAGCTATTGCGAGACCAATTCGACGGATGGGAACAAGCTGAGAACTTGACTACCGTATTCGCCGCGGCCACATCGGGTGGCCGCTGGCAGTCATCCGGGTCGGTCGATTGGAACTTCCAGTCGCGCCGTCGCGAGCATTCGTATCATGAATGTAACGACTTGATGTTTGAGACGGCCTTTCTGACATGCGCTGAGCCCCGCCCAAGCAGCAAGTCCGATGGGCGCTCGCGGCCCCCTTGCAGTTGCCCCCCAGCCCCTTGCGCCTGGCTCCCACTCGCGCGCCGATCCAGGAGGAGCCCCCCGCCAGTCTACGCCGCTAGTCAGAGCTCACATACACCGTCGTGCCACCAGTATCAACCCACCCCCCCTGGCTGACAGCCGGTCAGGCCCGGCAGGCCCCACCTCCCGCGCCCCGCCAATTTCCGAGCGGTTTGAATTCCATGCCCCCAGATGACAACGGCATCCCACAAACCTGCCGTCACATGCTCTGGTAATGATTACTCGGCCCCCCTGCACCGCGGGGCCTCAAGCCCTCCTCGGCCGCCGTCGGATCGCCGCTGCGCCGCCGCCGCCTGCATCGCCCGCAGCTTCCCCCGCCCCATCCTCCCCGCCAGCCTCGGGCGATCGGGCCCCCGCTGGGGGGTCCCCTTCCTCCTCGCTTCGCTCCTCCTCCCGCTCCGCACCTTCCGCGGCTGCCGTCTGGGCGCCTATGGTGGCCTGCCGCCGCGCAGCCCCCGCCGCTGACGTCCGTCCCTTGTGTGACGCACCCTGCAGGCGCACCCGAGTGTCGCAGCCCAGCCGTCAGCACCCCGAGAGCCACAATCTCGGCCTATTATGATCAGCCCCGCCCTTGCCGCTCGACCGGCCCCGCGCGCGTAAGCGCAGGGGGCGATCCCAGA